GAGTGGCAGATATTATAGGGTAGTTAGGCGGTCATAAAGCGTTCAGGAAAGCGGTCTCGGAGTGACTAGATCACACCGGGGTTGGAAGACCATAGTTAAGGCCATCCATTGGTCAGGAGTTGCCGACCAGTTCACATCTAGTTCACTAGTGTTGAAGTATCTTGTGGAGGGCAGTTGTTACTAATAGGTATTCGAAAATTATTCACTAATTTGCAAAATGGCTGGCGCATTACGTAGTTTGGGGGACTACGTGGCAGCGCCTTTAACTCTGTTTCTCTTCCTTTTCCTGCCAAAGCTGAAGCGCTGACGAGGGATCGCTCCTCCCCCACCCCCCAACTAGGTCTGCACCAAATGACCCTTATTATTGCCTCTGACAACGTACTGGGCACTGAGGTGACAGCCGCGCACGTGAATGTATGTGGCATATTACTTCTCAAAGAGTTGAACATTTTTAGAGCGCTGAGTTAGTTGGAGGGGGCGGATTGATTCAGGCTATCCCCGTTTTCCCCACCCTTAGCCGTCTCCACCGAGCTCAAGGTTGAGAGGACACAGACCAACGGAAAAAGAGCCTGGTCCATTCTCGCCGTGTGCTTCCTTGCTACTTTAGTCTCAGTTACATGTGCAATTTTTTTAGCTAGACATTTCCAGTGTTTCTCAACATTCTTTCTGCTATTCTGTGTATGAAACGAACGTGTACGTCGTGTGTCTGAAAGCGGAGCCACGCCCATTGACAGAATCTCGTCCCACGAAGGGGCGTGTCCCGGTGTTATTCCACATTATCGTTGTGTATGGCATTTTGTCACTTTTAGCATCAAATTTCAGGATCTTTTTGTTGATGTATTTCATTGTCATTTCTTTTCGTTGCCATATGTTTTCTATAATGTGAAATCTCCAAATCTAGTGATGATTCAACATGTGAGCTTTTGACCACACGGCTTTACAGTATCTCTCGCATTTTTGTTCATAATAAGTCGATAACTTGTAGAGTTGGTAAATTCTGTAAAATAAATTTTATATAATTTTGTAGTGTAACAGCACTCAAGGGTGAAGCATTTCCCAGGAACCTGTTATACTTTTTATCTTCACGTGGTTTTCAACACCTATCTGTACGAGTGCATTCATACTTCGCGATCCTATCGTTCGAGCGACGCGATCGCGCGACCTAAGCGATCGTATCGCGAAGTATGAACACGCTCTAGCGCCACGTCTGAAAACATAAGAGGTTACTGGATGGTTCCAATATCAACCATTACTATGTTGACACAACTAGTAAGTTGCCTCTATTGAACTATCATGGACGTGAATGTATGTGATATCTACCATGCTCCTAGTTGAAAAAAGGAACCTTAAAGAAGTTAGGGAAAAAACAGTGAGTAGACCCTGTCACGCCCATCGTTCGTCTGCGCACTCACCGGCTTCACTGACCACTATCGTCGAGAGGGTACAGACAAGCAAAAAAGGGACGTGACGTGGTCCTACCACCAGTTGCCCCTATCGACCAATCATCGGAAGGCAAAAGGGGACGCCTACATGTATTCCTACACCAACTCTCTTCTCTATACGCACGTCACCGTCTTTCTCACGTCTGGGCCCTTGCGACAGCGCCCTTTCTGCCTCAGCTACGGACTGTACCCTAGTGCCGATAACATGCTGAAGAAATGCGTTAAAAAGACGGTGCAATACATGAAACTATTTCTGCTTATGAGCTTGATCTGCCAGAAAACACAACCCTTATTAGGAACATGGGCACCGGGTGAACGCTCGGGCGAGACAGCTCATCCTGTAGGTGGACCACGGTGCTGGCAGTAGTTTCTACACTCATTACCCCTGCAAACTAGAGGGTACGGATCGGAGCGCGGACAGGGCGGTCCACGTCACCAGTTGATGCATACGTGAGTCCGTAACAGGTGGTTGAGGGGGTCTGA